GTCGTGAACTGTAATGCAGAGACGAGAGGTGGGGATAGGGCCTCGGAGACGCTCCTTGGAGAGGCAGAAGACCGCAATGTTCCTCGACCTTGCCAACTTGAAGAGGTGTGGACTTCAAGCCCCAAGGCTGAGAAAAGCTGTGGGTGGTTCACAGAAAGAGGATGTTCCTGATCCAGTGGGGGCTTAACTCTGGGGCAGGGGGTGGAATTCTACTGGTTCAGACCGGTTCTATAGAACTGGTTGTTATGATTCTGCACAGTTCAAGAACCGGCAAATCGTGCCCCTGGCTGGCCCCGTCCCTCTCCACCGTCCCTCCCTGCCCAGTCAGTCCTTATCGCACATGCGCAACATCGCTGACTGTGTTCTCCCCTGTCTAGTCACTCCTTAAAGTATTTCTTTTTTCCCCCTCCTGACCATCAGTTGTTCCTATGATCAGCTGTGCCGGCATTCCCCCCACTTACTTACTGCTTTGCCCAGACGGCTTCCCTGAGGCCCAGGAAGGCAAAAAATGGAAGGGGGGGGCACCCCCCTCCATTTTTTGCCTTCCTGGGCCCCGGGGAAGCCTTCTGGGAGCAAAAACAGCTCCCCAGGAGGCTCCCCTGAGGCACAGGAGCCCCCCCCAAAGCCACGCCCCCCAGCCACATGGCCACACCCACCTAGCCATGCCCACCTAGCCATGCCCACAGAACCAGTTGTAACAAAATTTGAATCCCACCCCTGCTCTAAGGGAAGGACTGGCAGAGCTAGGGGGGAGGGGTGAAAAGAGGGACCAGCCTAGAATCGTTACGTAGCCACAAACAAGCCAAGTCCAAACTCCCCCTTGAGTAATGCTGATCCTTATCTAATGCTAACCAAGCACTGACAGTTAGCTGAGAAGATCCCTGTGCCCAGGCTTTTAGCAATGAATCCGTTAAGATTGACCTAGTCTTTGATGCCTGACATTAACTTGGCATTTGGGATAAAGAGGGATGAAATATCTCACATTGTCTCTCTTTTCTCGTTTCCTTTTCAACTGAAATAACCAGGTGTGTTATTTCACCTGAAACCAGCCTTGTGGATGCTTCCCATGCCACACTTCTTGCTGTGGCCACTTACCTCCTCTCGGGCCTGGAACTTGCAACTTCCCTCCAGCTTCCCCATTGGTTTTGATTGCAGGAAATTACCTTGCCTAACAACTGTCAGAATCAGCAACCTGGACTGCAGGTGCACAGTTGCTAAGTGATGTGGTGGTGCTTTAGGATTTCATCGCTTAGCGATGGAAATTCTGGGTCTCAGTTGCTCGAACTGGGTCAAGAACAACCTCTATTACCCCCGTGTGGCCTTGTCTTGGTTCCTTGGTTAACTGAGACCTTCCGGGACAGGGGTCTCCAACCTTGGCAGCTTTAAGACTTGTGGACTTCAACTCCCAGAATTCCTCCAAGCTAGCTGAGGAATTCTGGGAGTTGAAGTCCACAAGTCTTAAAGCTGCCAAGGTTGGAGACCCCTGCTCTGGGAAAAGAAGTAGCAGGAAGAGTGCCAGAAGCACTGATGGGGAAAGACAAAGAGGAGCTTGACTGATCGTGAGGCTGGGTCTTTTTCTGGGCCCGCCCCTTGATGATAAGGGAGTTGATTCTCTGATTGCATTGTCAACCCTGGACTTTTCATTTTTGGGAGGAAGTATAACTTGTGAATCCCTCTGCAATTTGGCCCCTGGTACCCCAACTAGATTCAGCTTGGTTGTTCGGATATGGAGGGAGGGGCTTCTTATTGTCCCGTATTCCCAGGATGCCCAGGGAGCTAGAAGGCACTACTTAAGGGATGAGTTCCCCAAGGTGATCGAGCTGCCCCGCTCAGGAGCTTTAAGAAACTATTATAGAGATTTTTTTAAAACATCCCCGGTGCCTCCTGTTGTTCTTATTACTTCTGCCCCTGGATAAGTTTTCCTTTCCTTTCATGATTTGGATTTTAAATTGCTTAAATTCTGCCATTTTCATTGTGACGTTGTAGCTGCCAAGAGTCAAGAGGTTGGAATGGGACAAAAAGAGAGAAAAACCCCAATCAAACAAAACAAACAAACTCGTGATACCGAAGGCCGATCAAATTCTGCTTTTTTCTTGTCTCGTCAGCAAGGGAGATTTCATGCCCAATTTCTGATGAGTGGAATTCCGTCTCACGGCTGTATTCAGGCTGCGCTCTTATTTGGCCGGTTATATAAGTGGGTGGTTGTTGTGTTTTGTGTGTATCTGTGAGGACTTTTTAGGACTTTTGGGTCATCATCAAGTAGTAAAAAAATTGCAGGCCAATCAGCAACACATTTAAGAGAGTCCAAGGAAATCCACTCCAGGAAAATGTGCATCAGATACTAGCCCAGCTATATTAATAGAGTAACCACAACACAATGGTTCCACAGGAAAGAAAAAGAACTTGAATTTTGTTGTTAATGAAAGGGCCACCTTAGCTGTGAGCTGGTACTTTTCAGATGTATTTCAGAACAATGATTGACTTCATTTGGAATTAATGCCAAAGTAACTAGGGTTGTTCTTCTTGTTTGCTCTCGATCAAGCCAGCTTACATACTACAGTCTTGCTATTTTCATAGGTGACATGGGAGCAACACAGTGGTGGGATGCAGCCAGTTCTCACCAGTTCTGGAGAACTGGTTGTTAACTTTCTGAGCAGTTTGGTAAACTGGTTGTTGGAAGAAATCATTAGGGTAGAGAACCAGTAGTTAAGTTATTTGAATCCCACCACATACTGTGCATGGAATGGGACAATTCGCTGTGGCCAATTCACTGTAGCCACCTCACCTCAGTCAACTCTTTATAGCCAACTTGCTACAGGACAATGTAACCATTCCATTTAATTATTTAAAATAATTTTTTTTAAAAAAGTCCTTCCTTTTGCATCCTTTCTTTGATGATTCTATTCCACCATTTCTTCAATATTATGTAATTTTTGTCCAGTGGCAAGTTGTCTCGTGCTGAATTGGCCTTGGCGGATTATCCTGTGGTGAGTTGGCCGCAGCGGATTGTCGTAGACCCTGCTGAGCAACACAGTTCCCCATTTTGCTTTGAACATTTGTGTGAAAAAGAAGCACAGAGCTGCAGGAAAGGGAAAATTTCCCCTCAGCACAACCATGTGAGGTCCTAAAGCTTTCTACCTCACCCTTGCTCCACCTAGGAGAATGATCCACAATCTGGTGCTAGTCAGTTGTGTTATACAGACTCTCATCATGACAAGGGCCAGGGGAGTTGCAATCCAAGGCCCGAGACCGGGCAAGGCTGCTCTAGGCCAAAGAACAGCAGGACAGTGTCCCTTGTCATTGTAGGTGTGGTTGTGTCAGTCATTACTGAAGGGTAAAGGTGGTTATTGATGAAATAATGTGGACATGAAGAAGCCGGAAGGAGAATGTTTCTGTCCTGAAAACTATGTTTCATCTGTTTCCTTAGAAGGGACACAAAGAATGTATGTCTTCTCCTGGATAACCTTCCCCATGGCTTTCTCATAGATACTCAAAGGGAAGCATTGGAGAAGCACAATTTGTTATTTGGATCTCTCTCCTGCTTCCTCTCCTCCACGAACCCTTTCTAATTGCCCCAAAGGACAGCTGTCTCCAAGCAAAGCTGTGGGCTGATGATGAGTCATGGGATGACCACATGCTGCCTGATGTGACAGAGAAGCGTTTAGAGAGTTGTGGGACCTTGGCCAAAGCTCCCACAGAAAACAGTGCTGTGGGCTTTGAAAGAGCCATTAAAGGAAGGTTGGGTTGTTTGTAAGCATCAGGGAAAACCGGAGGCACCTTCATCATTTGAACTAAAAGAGTAGCCCTTCTGCTCTCCTTAGGCACCGTCAGAATATATGGGAAGAAGTCAAGGTCATGCCATCTCCAGTGACAGATGCTTGGACAACCAACCATCCCACATAATCATCAATGTCGTCACTGACTTTGATTACGCATTTTTCAATTGCTTTAGTTCCAGAGTCCTGAGTTGATTGAGGACTCCTTGGATTGAGCAGTGAGAAGGAGAAGAGCATGATCACTTCAGACGTTCCCCGCTTAGGAGGAGTTGGAAAGTTAAGCTCTTATCTGCAAGACCCAAGTTCTCCAGGTAAGTGTTACACAGGTCTTGTATTGCTCCAGAGTTGCATTGTCTCTGAAGGTCTTGAGCAGGGGTCTTCAAACTTGAGCAACTTTAAGACTTATGGACTTCAACTCCCAGGGAGTTGAAGTCCACAAGTCTTAAAGTTGCTCAAGTTTGGAGACCTCTGATCTTGAGGAAACCAAACCAACTTCTCAATGGTGCTAGATTTTAAATTTTGAGTTGGAGGATAGCTTTTCAGGAATGGCGTTCAATCCCTGCTCAATGCAGGCAAGAACCCTAAAGAACCATGGAAAAATTCTGGGGTTTTCTATTCAGAATTTTTAACACTCTGATGCAGATTACCTAATATTTTGTAGAGTTGGAGCTAAAAAATCCCATATCTGAAATTTCAATTTCTTACAGAAGGCTTTCTTCCTTTCCTTTTTGAAAAATTGAGGTTGACGTATATTTCTAAGGAAGTATCCTAAATCTTGCTGAAAGTTCATTTTGAAGTTCATGATTAGATTTCACATGTCAAGGTCAACAGTTTTGGCCCTGATGGTTTCCAAAAAGTAATAAATGTAATGTAACTGTTAATGCTGTCAGATTTGAACATCTGAGCAGAGATTTTACTTCCAAATTATTCCCTTCTCATTGAAGACCTGTTTTAGAATAAATTGAGGTTCCCTCAAAATAAGGTTTACTTTTTATTTTATAACTGTATCTGGGGAAAAAAAGTTGCCAAAACATAAACAACTCAAAAGCAAACTGGTAGTTGCACACCCCACAAGCATGACGTGGGAAAGAAGAGAAGAGAAATGTATGCATAATCCAAACTTTAAAAGATCTTTCTTTCTTTCTTTCTTTCTTTCTTTCTTTCTTTCTTTCTTTCTTTCTTTCTTTCTTTCTTTCTTTCTTTCTTTCTTTCTTTCTCTTTTTCTCAGAAACATAGACAACTTCAAATTCCAACAGAAAATATTTCTTATTCTATGAAGAACATTAGCCGGAACAAAAATATTTTACAGCTTCAGTCAAATTACAGACAAACTTTTTGGATTTTAAATATCAGCTTAATTTTAGTAAAATACTAATTTTTTGACACAGATAAAGCACGGTGGGACATATGGAATTTGTTAATTTGGCAGCTGGACAAATGGCACCCCTTCCCCCCTCCCCCCCTCCCCCCAAATACTTGCAAAGGTGCCACACAGGGTTGATATGAATTAAACATAAAAACTAACATGGAATGGTAGATACGAGGTTGACCATTGACTCCAAGATGGGAATTTTGATGGCCAGGCTGGGGCCTCCTGAGACAAAGTGGTGACGTTTTGCTTATCAGGGCAGGGCAACCTGAGCTAAAGAAACAATAAAAACTCCATAAAAACTCAATGCCAGCAGTCAATTCCCCCTCCCCAGGGGAGCCCTTCTCATCTTCCTCTCTTCTAGCACTGAAAACCAAATCAGGGCTTCTGACCAGCTCTGGAGGACCTTCCTGATCACCCTTTCCCTCCCCTGCGGCTGAATCCCACCTTCTACGGTGCCAGGTCCCTTGGTCCAACATGGGCAGCATTTCTCCATTCTTTCAGGTGCCCGTTTTTTCTCTGAACTGAACAAGCCAGGAAGTATCTTTCATCCTCCTTTCTTTCACCTGAGACTCTTGGGACTCCCTCTCCTCCATGCTGGGACCATCCAGAGATTCCCCCAGGAAATGTTCCCAGCTATCTACCACGATGTCGTCAGCCTTGCCGGGTGAGATCAGACAGCGTTTGTCTCTGCATATGATTTTCGGTTAGCCTTGGGAAGGCCGGATCCACTTCCAGGACTTCATTTAGGTGTGACTTTATTAATGCAAATAAACGGAATAGTTAAGAAGAACATGAGAAATGGGCAATGACACAACTGAGAGTGGGTGTTGTGGAATTCCTGGAGTGGGGGGGCTGTGTAACTTCAAACATGGGGACAGAAGCTGCCTCCTCCTGCCTCCCTCACCCCATCTGACTGGCATGGATTCCTTCAAAGGGTCTGGAGGCTGTCCCAGTGCCCCATCTCAATCCCCTAGGATTCCTGGGAATAAGAATAATAAATATCCTGGAGTAAGAGCATCTACTGACAGGCTTCACGGATTTACTGAGGTCTGGGGACTAAATGCAAGCGGTACCCAAAGGCTTCTGACAGCCAGTTCTGAGTCATCGGGGTTTTTGCAGGTGCCATGGAAATAACAGAGAGGTGTCTCTGTCTGGATGGGTTTCACGTCAAAGTCGCAATAAGACAAGGAGGCAGCGTCCCTCTAAGCAGGCGATTCTGCAAGGGACAAAGGAGCCGAGCCAAGTTCCATTTTGCAAAGCCAGACCACGTCCACTCCTTTTGCAAGCTGCCTCCTTGGGAAGAAGCCAAGTGGGGCGGAGGAGAAGAGGGGAGCACCATCAACAGGCGCTCAAGATCCAGAGGCCTTTCGCTAACTTTAAAGGAAGCGGGTCTTTCCAACTCTGGCCTCCCGCTAAACCTCCACGAGGACCTGATCTTTAGACTCACAGCCATAACACTCCAGGTGCTCTTTCTCCTCCCTTATGCCACGGATGCAACCATACTTGGTTGCAGCTCCAGTCTCTTGAAGGATGGTCATTCCAGTATCACCACAAAAGAAAGTAAAAATATCCAAAGCAAGACAGCTAATGGTTGCAACAGAGGATGCCACCACACAGCAGCCGGGACCAAAATGGAGATGGCCATGAGTGTGTAAGGGGGTTGGGGTTGGGGTGGGGGAGGGGGAGGATGGTCTACTTAGCTCTTGACTTCAGGCTTAAAATACTCAGAGTTAAGAAAGGTAAAGCCTTCAAATTCTGATTGGTCAATGTTCCTGATGACTTCCTGGTCAGGTGGAGTTAAGACAGGTGGATGGCGAGTGAAAAACCGGTCGAAGTTTTCAGCATTGCGTCCGCACTATGAAAGGGGAAGAAAAGAACTCATGGCAGGTGGCAAAAAGGAGCAAAGGAAAACAAAAACAAAAACGAACCTGAATGCAAAAAATTGGATGCAGCTTGTTATGTCCCTCTAGCAGCCTCGCCAACCCCCCCCCCACCCCCCACCCCACAATCTGGGCTGCAGGCAAGTCATTCCTCATGAGCAAAATGAGAAGAACCCCAAAAAGAATCAATGCAAAATCCTGATGGCCCCAGGTGACAGCAGGGACCAACCCAGAGTTCCTTAAGTCATGGATATGCTGGGAAGCTGGAGGCTCTCAGCTGGCCTCAGCAAGTAATTGCAGGAGGAGGATGGATGGCGAGGCAATTACTTGCACGGCTCTGCCGGGCACATGCAAGGCTGTACATGCAGAGCTTCTCTGGCTGGTCAGAAAACAAAGAGAGGCCGCCTTGTATTCCGATCCCATGCTGGTGCCCAGTTCGCCAGGGCTTCCTATGCACAGAATCCCCCAGAAAGTTTCAGCCAGGGTTACAGGATGCTGAGCATTGAGCACCATGGTTGGGTTTTCCCCCTCTCTTATCTGCTTGCAAGCCAGCCACCCCATTGTGAACAGCGAGGGCATTTCGACATTGAAAAAGCATAAAGAAATTGAGCGGACAATTTTTCCGGAATGAAAAATTCTCCAGCCGTTTCTTCAGGGAAAGGCAGCATCGCAACCGTGCCGAATTTGGTGCCTCGGTGGGAGGAGGAGGAGGAGGAGGGCCATCCTGATGTCTTTCTTTGGGCTTTAACGGAGTTAAGGGGGTCAGACTAGAAACCGGGAGCCGGGGAGTTCTAGTCCCACCTTGGGCGCAAAGCCAGCTGAGTGACCCTGGGCCGGTCACTTTCTCTCGGCCGCAGGAAGGAGGCTCTGGCAAAGCACTTCTGAAGAACCTTGCCAAGAAAACTGCAGGGACTTTTCCAGGCAGTCTCCGAAAATCAGACACAATTAAAGGGAAGAAAAAAAATATTAGAGGCCGCAAAGCCTGTTAGGAAAATACTGCACGGAGAAGACGAAGACGTTTATACCCATCTCTTCTCCCTCCGGTCATTAGTAAGAGCAAGATATCACTCAACCCATAACAATTTCTCTGACCCCCCCCCCCCTTTTCTTTCTTTTTCTTTTTTTTGCTTTGAAAGACATTTCAAATTTGCCTTTATAAACAGAATAACAATTGGAAGGAAAATGCAAGAGACTTTTTTTGCTTGGCATCTGAAGGCAAACGGTGGGAATCCCATTTAACCAGACCTGTTCGAAACAGCCAAGCCGTAACCACTTGAGAAACTCTGGAGAATGTTGCAAATGCACCCAGTGAGGACCCTGGGTCCAGAGCACGAGGCGCCAGAAGGAAGGAAATGCTTCTCTAGCAAACCAATGCAGCCTCCTCTATAGGTAAAGACCTCCTGATCCAGAAAATCAGACATAAAGTGAAAACTTTATGAAACTTTTCCAGAGCAGCAAGATACTAAAAACCTCCCAGTCACCCTGGAAATAGGCTTTAGGTTTTTGTGACCAGACAAGGACTCCATGCTAGTCCGTGATTCAAACTCAACATTACACTGCAAGGGTGATTCTAACAGGTTTAACAGATTAAAAGACTTGGAAGGGACCTTGTAGGTCATCTAGTCCAACCCCCTCCCCCCAAGCAGGAGACTCTACACCATTTCTGGCAGATGTGGTGGTCCTGTCTCTTTGAGTCTGGTCCCCTTTTGGGGGGGGCGGGTCTGTTACAATTACAAGCTTCTGGCAAGACGACAAAAGTCAAAGCAGCAGCAGATCTACCTGGCAGCGTTTTAAAAGGATGGAGGAAATTCCCCCCCGCCCTTCGGGGGGGATGCCTGGTTTGAACCTAGAATCCTTCTAGAAGGATTCAAATGCCATCAGCCAAACACAAGGAGAAGAAGCTCAAGCAGCCTTGATGCCCACCTGGCAGCCAAAGAGGAAAAAAAAGGAAAAAAAGAGTGATCCATCCCTTTCTTTGACTTGCTAGAGAAGAACTGGAAGCGTTTGACTTATTTTCCCACAGCTGGGATTCTGTAACCCATAATTCCAGCGGCCGGATTGCGCAGCCTCCCGATCCTAACCATGGAAGCCGAGACGGGGTGCCGCAAATGGAAGAGACAGAGCGGCGTTCGAAGGGCTGGTGGCGAGTCAAGGCTCGCCGGCCGGACCAGCTGGCCTCACAACAAGGGGCTCTTCCTTGGTGGCTGCTCTGATCAAAGCAGCTGCAGAGGTTCCCTTGCTCGACGTGAGGCTTCCGAGGAAAACAGTGGAGCGTCAAAGTTTCCCTGCTCATGAAAGCTCACTCAGGCCCAGTGGAAGCTCTTCGCGGACGCTTTCCAAGCCCCCCGGATGGCTTTTTAGCTCGCATTGGCCGAGACAAATGGATTTGCGTCCCCCGTCAACCGAATGGTAGGAATTAAAAGCATTCAAGACTGACCCAAAAGTGTGGTTTTTTTCTCCAAAAGGCGGCTGGACTTTCTTCGTTTTGTCTTTGAAAACATTTTGCTTCTCATCCAAGGAGCTTCTTCAGTTCTCTCTGAGAAAAGAGATGGATCCTCATCCTTGGATGAGAAGCAATTTTTTTCTTTTTTCTTTTTTCTTTTTTCTTTTCCTTTCCTTTTTTTTATTTTTTTACAATGTATCCATTTTTCAGTTCAACAGTGTGTCATCTGGGTACATATATCTTGTGTACATATTCATATTTGAGATACATCACTTGCTATAATGTCAATAGTTACATTCATATTAAAAATTACTCATCCTTATTTATCTTATCATTGTAATAAGCTTAATGTATTTTACCTTACATTCTTTTAACTTCTTTCTTTATTTTCCAACCATTTATAAAATAAATCCCATATCATATAATATTCCGTTTCTTCTTGTTTTTTAATTGCCAACTTCATTTCTGCACATTCAAGTATTTTCATAATCGCCTCTTCCTCTGTCAGAATCTTATCATTTTTCCAATTTTGAGCACAAGCAAAATCTTTTCAAAGACAAAACCAAGAAAATCCAGTTGCCTTTTGGAAAAAAAGTACCTTTGGGACAACTATGACCTGGATGAGAATCTTTGTAGTCATTCATGACAAACCTTTGCAAACTGTCCAACCTCTTCAGGCCCTGACAGTTGCTGACTGGAGAAAGAGGACGTTGCCCTGAGCTTTTGGGCCACAACCACTACATAAAAATTCACACATACACCTCAGATTCCAAGAAGAGGCCAACCACAGGAGAACAACATCTTGAAACATGGTGTGATGACCTGGGGCATGGCATAAAGGCCACACAGTCAGATAATCAGTAGGAGTCCCTTTATTAGCTCCAACTTTGCCCCCAATGTCCAGGTTACCTTCTGGGCTGGAGAAAATCTCTCCCAGGAATAGCCTTTGGCTGCAGAGAATCAAGTCCAAAACATGGTCAACAAAAAGTGTAACTATAAGTCCAAACAAGGCAAGTTGAGGTAGTTAGTCTGGCAGGGCAAGAGAAGGAATTCCAGATGTGAAGGAACGGCAGTAATTCAACCCAGTTGGGAGGATGCCAGGAACACAGATAAGCAAAGTCAACACAAGATAAACTCACGTTTGTTCCCAGCAGATGCCGCACTCAGCTTGCATCTCTTTTAAACTCTCTTCCCAGGTGTGCAGGGAATCAGGGCCCTTTCCTCCCACGTAAGCCACGCAACCCACATTGCTCCCTTCTCCGTTCCTCCCTGCATGCCCTAGGATGAAGAGGGGATGGGCCTGGGTCTTCCTCCGAATTCTCTCTCCCTTGTTTTACCTCTCCCCTGTTCTGGCCGGCTGGACTTTGCCCTTCCCCAGTTTCCTCCAGAGCCTACAGAGCCACACTCCCACTCCCTGTCAGCTGTTCATCTTCCTCCTGGGATTCAGACTCCAAGAGGGGCATGACACTTGGTCGCTGCCTCCTCACCAGTCAGCCTGCTTGCAATCTCCCAGCCCAGGCAGCACCCATTCAGGACTCCCTTCTGGCGTTTCCTCTGAGGGAAGCAGCTCCAAGCACAACCAAGACTCCAGTTGACCAGAAGGTGAACAAGGGGGCATGGAAGGGGAGGGGGAGTGGTGGAAACAGAACCAAGAAACACAACATCCCCCTCACTCCTATTATGGTGATTTCTTACCTCGTTTTCTGGACACTCTGATTTCCTTCTTCCTTTCCCCTGCTTCTCTCTCCAGAAATAGAACATATTCAATAGAGAGAAGCAGCTAATCTAAGACATCCATCTACAAGTCCCAAATTTCCAAATTCAAATACAGCATTTGTAGTTCACGTAATGACGAGCACAGCCGGGTTCCAGGGATGCTTCCTTGTCTTTCTTCAAGGCACACGGTGGCAATTTCAACACCAATAGAAGCAGCGGTGGGCTGCAAAGTTTTTAACAACCAGTTCTCTGGCTGGGTAGGCGTGGGCAGTTGGTCATGTGACTGGGTGGGTGACATCACTCATCACACCAGCCCCGCCTCCCAACAACTCGCCTCAAAGGAAGAGGGAGGATTCAGCCGGTTGGGGCTAATCCCATCACTGGCTGGCCCTGCCCCCACCTGTTTTTCAGCCTTTGGGGGTGGGGGCTTATTTGGGCCATTTTTATGTCATTTTTGGTCCAGAAAATGGCATGAAAAACAGCCTGAAAACAGTCCCCAAACCAGACTGTTTTAGGGCTGTTTTTCGGGCCATTTTCAGGCTGTTTTTCGGGCCGTTTTTGCCAAAAACAGCCCCCAAACTGTCCAAAAACGGCCTGAGAATGCCCCCAAAATGGCCTGAAAATGCCCCCCAAAACAGAGTGAAAAACAGGTGGGGATGGGCCCAGCCAGTGGGGGGAATTTGCCAGTTCGCTGAACTGCACCTAACGTTAACTACTGGTTCGCTAGGACCAGTGCGAACTGGCAGCATCCCACCTCTGCATAGAAGAGAATATTTGTAGTTCAGAGTTGAACTGTAGGATCCTTGGGGCTCTCTG